CAGGGGTCTCTGTGGCCTGCCATACTTGTTGCCATTGTTGCTTCTTGCTGTCCATGATAACGGTGGGGTCGGCGATGGTCAGGTTGGTCGTGTAGGCCTCGATGTGGCGCACGGGCGCTGGCTTGACATGGGCGTGTAAAACTCCAGGGCGGTGTTTCCATTGCTTGGCGAGCCAGGCGCCGTAGGCCCTCTGGGACTTAGCGAGGGCGGCGGCCAGCGCTCTGGAGGCCCAAGTAGCAGTAATGGTGACCAAGTCGTCGGTGTCCTCGTTGTCCAAGTGCGGGGCCCAGACGAGTGCAAACCAGCGGAAGATGGTGTCCTCGTCCTTCTCGAACTGGAGGTCGTGAAAGTGAGTGCTGAAGTGGTCCGCGCGCTGCTGGATGATGGAGGCCTGCTGCTGCATGAGCGCTGTGTGCTTGGGCTTGTCGTGAAGCGCAGCGTAGCGCTTGATGAGGGTGAGCGTGATTGCCCACCATTCTGACTGAGGGTCATGTACGTGAACGCGGCCTGGGGCGGCGGCCGTCTTCTTCCAGGACAATTGGTAGCCTTGGGCACGGCCTGTGAAAGCTGCGGCTTCCTTGGGGTCGATCTGGTGGTGGCTGATCATGGTGTTCTCGAGCGCCGTGACCCATTTGGCGTACTTGAGGTTGAGGTCGTCGGCGTCGCGCGCCCAGTGAGCGCGTGGGGCTGCTTACAACGTGTGGGTACTGCTTGCTGCCATTGCTCCTCCCAGAGGTCGGTCGGAATAGCGTAAGGGATGGGCTCCTGTGCTGCGGGCTCGTCTTGAGGCTGGAGTTGTGCTGCTGCTTGTTGGAGTTCAGGAGGTAGTTCGCGTAGGCGTGCTGCTCGAGCTTCTGCTGCTTTGCGTCTCTTGATGGCGGACTTGCTGTTGGGGTCGGGCGGGGTCCTGGGTCTGTCCACTGTGGGGAAGGCTCTGGGGGTATGGATCGACTGATACCACCAGGGGTCTGCACTGCCTGCTCGAATCTCAAGACCCACGTGGGTGGCCCAGGGGACGGTGGGGCACTGGCGAATGGAAATCGTGTGCTCGATGCCAGCCTTGACCAATGCGAAGTCGAGCGTGAGCCCCTGGCCCTTGTCGCACGTGGCAGATCCAGGCGCTCGCACGATGGTAGCATTCCATTTGGCGGGCCACTCTGTTGCTGCGAGCTGCTCAGGAGTCATATTCCAATCGGCCAGGATGAGCATAGTAACGAAGGCCCCCAGCGAAAGTAGCTTATCGTGCACTGCACCCTCGATCTGCCTGTGGGGTTCCAGGTATGCAGCAATAACGACCAGGTTGCCCGAGCGTCTATGCCAAACCATGGGGGTGAAGCCTCGGAACGGGTCGGGCCTGCGCTGGGAGATGGCCAGGTCGCGGAGGTGGTTGAAGGTTGTGGCCTGGACGTGGTACCTGGAGAGTATAATCTCGCCGCCCGTGTTGCCTCCGTCGGATCTGCTGGTCGGCGTGGCTGTAGTCGATGATATCCTCCAACCATCTGCTGCTAGCTCGTTGTAGATGAGAGGGGCCTTACCGTGCGAGATGTGTGTTTCAACCAAGGCCACCATCTGATATTGTTTGCCTGGTCCTGCCAACCATTTCTCCGACTGTGGCCCCCACTGGGTAATGTTGGAGAAGAAAAGGGAGTGATCTGACGGCGTGGGATTCGTAGGGCCTTCGTCTTGGTAGACGGGTCTGGGGTCGGGTCTTGGGCCGCTGGGCTTCCCTGGGCCTTCCGCAGCGGTCGAGTCGATGGCTTCCGCCGTCTCATCGCCCCCTACCAAGGACTGTGTCTTGGGCGGGGCGGCATCAGGGTGTGCTTTTGGCACCTGATCCCCTGGTTCCTGTACCAACTGCTTGTCGACAGCTTGGGCCGTCTCATCACTCCCTACCGAGGACAGCGTCTCGGGCGGAGCGGCATCAGGGTCGGCTCGCGCGGCACGCTGCGGCTGCCCTGGGTCCCTTGATACTGCGTCGACGGACTGTGCCACCTCATCGCCCCCAGCCGAGGACAGCGTCTCGGGCGGGGCGGTAGCAAACTGAACTGTGGCTGCGAAATCGAAGTGGGCATCCAACTCGGCCAGCTCGTCGAACGGGTCGAGGACTGCGTCCATTGTGTTGATGATCGGTGGGTTGTCGTATTTCATGGTCTCTGACGGTAGGCGTCCCGTCTCACCATTCCGTCCAGGGTCGGGTAGTAGTCGGCTAAAGAGGCTGCTGCGCTCCAGCCGCGGCGGTAGCGGTGGGCTTGCGCATCTGGCTGAGCATCTTCTGTGCCTTGTCTTCGAGGTCGGGGTCCTTGTTGATCGCTGGTACAGGCTGTGCAGCGACGCTGCCGTCAGAAGTAGCGCCAGCAGCAGGTGCGGGAGGCTCGTCGCCTGGCGCCGCTGTCGATGAGGCCACGGAGCCATCAGCGCCCGCTGCGGCTGCCGCTGGGGGTTCGCCTGCTGCCGCCGAGGCGGCGGGCGGAGATCCACCTCCCTCTCGGGCGTGACCGTC